TGAGTCCCCTTCTTTATGGAGTGAATGCCTGAACCACACTAGGATGTCCATCATGATTTAGGGCTTCGTCACCCAATCTGCTCAGCCTAAGGAAGTGTTGGAGACTGAGGTCAGCCAGGTGGGCATTTGACCATGGAGCCCAGTCAAGGTGACACCAAGGCCTGGCCAGCACCCCTGGTCACAAAACTCCATGCAAATGCCTCACATAGTGGCTGGGAGGGGACCATGCTGTTCTTGGCTGTGTGGGAGAGGAAGAGCAGAAAACCCCTGTTTCAGTCCCTCTGGGCTCTGCACACATGTACCTCTTCACAGAAGTGCCTTCAACTTATTGTAAAATCCTTTCACTGCAGTAAATATAACATATGCTAGTCTGTTTTCAGGCATTCTGCACATCCTTCCAGAGAATCAGCAAGCCTGAGGGTGGTCTTGGTGGTCTTGCCCCAGGGACCCCGAGAGTGCAATGATGACAGGCGCTGTGGACCTCACTGTGCTCCTCACTGTGAGGTTGAAACAAACTATTTTACAGTCACTGTCACTGCAAGTGACTCCCTTCTCTATGTGGAAAATTGCTAGAAACAGCACAGTAGCCCTTTCCTTCTCCTGTACAGATCATTTATCTTCTTAAAATAGAAAAACTAATTCATAATAGAGTGGCCCTGGTATGGAAGGACAGGATTAAGATTCATGAAACATTTATTGGAGGCCCAGAAGGTAGTTTCACCTCAGGGTAAAGAACTTTCCTGCAAATTGAAAAAGACCAGAACTGTGGTTGGATGCTCTACCACACAGAGTGGAGGTCCTTGCTGGGGCCTGAGGCTGGACTGAAGGGGACAGCCAAGCCTCAGTTTACCCCATAGAAGGTGCTCAATACTGGCCTAGTGGCCCCCTCTGCTTTTGGAAGTGAGAATAACCTTTCTAAATTTACCCATCACCAGCCAAGCCTGCCTGCACCTTGCCCTCTCAGGAGCAAGGGTGATCTCAGCCTTTTGGGTGTTTGGAGACAGCCCTCTCAGTTAAGCATCAACCCCAGGCACCAGAAGTGGCCTGAAGGACCATGGAGTCAAGCCCTTCACTCTGGTGATGAGGAAACCGAACCCCAAGGCTAAGTTGGTCCCCTGAGCCCTGGCTCCACCCTCCCCTACTTAGAACGACTCCACTTGGGGGCACAAAGTGTCTTCTCTTCTGCTTCTCAGTTTCCTCCCAATTTTTATAATATGCATTTTGTTGTTTTCTTAGATAAAAATCTAAAATCTCATATGTGTCTAAACATTGAAAAGTTTAACTATTTAGTGTGGCATGCCCCAGGACACCTCCCTGATTCTGGTAACCCCCATGCCAAAGTCACTATTCCTGGATCTTAACATGAAGATCTCAGAACTGAATTGGGATGGCTCAGCAGAAATGAGGCAGAACCTATGTTTCCCATATGATGACCTGGACAGGGTCTGATGCTGGTCCAGAGAGGTGGTGCAGGACTGTGACCACCTTTCAACATTAATTGCCAAGATGTTTCTTCATTGTTCAAAATCTAAAACAAACCTCATACTGATCTTAGTGGCATTTCACTTGTTCATGGGCGTAGATCACTGGTCCTGGCTGCCAAGCTTGTAAGTGGAGTTTGGTTGTTGACATGCAAGCTTTTCCGACAACTTTGCACTATCTGGGTATGGAGACTGGGGCTCAGACTTGCAGCGAAGCAGTGAGCTGCTCTGGGCTGCTCACCTGTGTGTCTGGAAGGAGGAAGAGGGCACAGGTGGCCAGGCCCCTGGGGATCAGCCCAGCCTCCATTTCTACTGGAGGTGCCCAGGAAGAGTGGGGCCTTCTTGTCTTTCTCCTTGTCTGAGAGGCCAGGGGGTACTGGGGTGCTGGGGTGCCGGTGTGAGGTGAGAATGGCAAGGATACTGTGGACCCCAGAGGACACCGTGAAACCAAAAAGCACATCCCCACTGTCATGGGTTTAGAGTGTAGACTCCTCCGAAGTGCCCCACGCGGCTCTTGGGCCAGCAGGTAGGACACCTGACAGGGTAGAGGCCCTTGCTGGAGAGGCAGGCAGGGAGGGGAATACTGGCTACAGGCTGCGGAGAGCCACCTTGTTCCACAGGCCAAGCCTGGCTACACAGTTACTCATGGTCACCACTCAAGGAAGGATCCTGTTCCCAAACCCAGCCCAGGAGTCTGTGAAAATACCTTCCTTGTGTCCCCTACCCCAACTCCAGAACCCAGTAGGGGCTGCTTCCCAGTCAGCTCAGGGAACTTTCAACTCTGCCAGGTCCTCTGAAGAAATGGGCCGTCCGCCCCTGCCCGCACATTGCCCTCACGTTGCCACTCGGACACCTGTACTCTAGAAGCCGTGTCTTCCAGCCTCAGGACCTTGACACCTGCACCTGAAGACAGGCCCTGTGCCAGGCTCTGCAGGAGGTCCAGGGCTAGCTCCAAGGCTGGTTCCAGCCCCCTGCTGTCACAGGGCCCTCAGGTAACGCAGGGTCCAGCTTGGGATAAGAGTCCTGACTCCTCAAGCTTGAGCCTCTGCAACACAAGTGAGCTCTTCAAGGGCCAAGTCTTTGTCTTTCACTCAATTCACAGATATTTTCAACAAATATTTACCTATGAGGCTTTTTGGTGAAGGCAATTAAGTTCTTTTGGAGTTCTCTCACTGGCACATGCCCCTGTTAAGATTGGGTTGACCAGGTTTTAGAAACGAGACCTCTCCCCTGTGATACCTCCCTCTTGTGGGATCAGGGCAACTGCAAGAAATTTGGGGTTTGCAGTGGATGTTGCAATGGGAATGATTTGGTTTGGGTTTTGTGCTCTATATTTATGTGCTCAGTGCTCCTACCATGCACGGCCAACCCAGACGGTTTCCCAGACTTCTCCTGCCTACTGTGGTGGGCACCCTGAGGTCACAGTGCAGTTCCAGCCCTGCCAGGGCCTGAATGTGTCTGACTGAGGCTGGCACCAGAAGTACAGGAGCACAAGAAGTGCCCTTGAACCTGGAGAGATGGCACCAGAGTAGGTCTTCCTAAAAGCAGGACAGAGACAACAGCCAGCTAATCATAAAGACTAGGTTCCTGTATCACGATAACATGTCCTAACAGGTTCTTCAAGCTTGCAATTGGTTGTGATTTCTCACTCTATTTTGAAATAGTTTTTTTTTCTACTTTTATTTCTCTTAAGAGGCTTTCTGTGGTCATCTAAAGCATAAACCTGGGGACCCTACATAGCCCTGCCCATTTGTTCACTCTACAGATGCTCTTTCAGGCACCAGGCATGCAGCAGTGAGCAGAAAAGACCAGACCAAGAAAAAAAGAAAGAAAAAAAAGATCAGACCAGCACTTGATCAGTGCTTCTCAAATGCTGGCCTGGACCCAGCTTTACCCTAGAAGAGTCTAAGTTTCAGGGAAGTCCAGGCTGGTCCCCATAGCAACCCAGGGGACCTGTACAGTCTTCAGAACTAGACCCTGGCGCCTTCAGACAGGGATAGAGTATGCTCTGGTGTTGGACTCTGCTCTGTGCAGGGCAGGAAGATAAGAAAGCCTCTCTCTGGGTCTCAGTGACAAGTCTGAGCTGGCATCACACAGCCTAAGCTACAGAACAGCTCCCTCGGCCTGTGCCATGGCATGACATGTGACACTGGACTGAATCCTCTTGCTGAATGCACATGCTGCAACCTTGTCCCAGCGTGATGGTGTTAGCAGGTGGGGCCTGTGGCAGGTGGTAAGATTCCTGGAGAAGAGTCCGTGAATGGGAAAGAAGCCTAGGGAAGCTGTCCACCCATGGTGTGTGAGGACACTGTGAGAGAGTGACTATACAACAGAGACAGAGCCCTCATCAGATAACAAATCTGTTACTATCTTGACCTTGGACTTCCAGCTTCCAGAACTGTAAGCAATAACTATTTGTTGTTTATAAGCTTCCCAGTCTACAGTGTTTTGTTATAGGAGCTTGAATGGACTAAGACAATAGCCTTCTGTGTTTCTTTGCAAATACTCAACTTTAAAACACAAGGATTCTTGGCCCAATAAAATTAGTCAATTAGTCACTCCTATCTAGCAGGGATGGTACCATCAGCTTGCTGATTAGAAGGTAAGGTCAGCTCACTGGGGCAAGTGGGGGTCTCCTAGGGAGTGTTTATCAGCCAGGTAGCATCATGAAGGCCCCAAAGGCCAGTGTTTGGAGTAGGACAGGGTGCAAGAAATGAGGGACAGGGGCCGGGGATTTAGCTCAGTGGTTCTGCCACCTGCCTTGCAAGCGCGAGAACCCACGTTCGATCCCTGGTACCAAAAGCAAAAAAAGAAATGAGGCACAGGTAAAGAAAAGGAAGCAAGAAGGCCAAGAGTCCCTCCACGTGCTGAACCATTGCACCTGTGCCCCACCCCTGGGGAGAACTGGGTCTCCCTGCCCCTCAGTGACCACCAACTAGCCAGCTCTGGTCAGGCCTCTGCAGGGCCAGATGAGGTGGCTGAAACAGAATTCTCTGTGCCTGGCTGGCTTGAGGGCCACCTGCCACTCCACTGGCCAGACCATAGCTGACAAAGCCCAGGCCTAGCCCACTATACCTTCAGGGAGGCACAGGGCCACCAGAGCAGGGCCACTGTGCTTTTAAGCTAATTTTAAAAATATTATAAAGGTAATATTTATTTCAGGAAACTAGAGAAATCCTATTGAAAGTGTTCATTTATAGTCTCATTTGGATGCAGTGTCCTTCCAGTATTTATTTAAGTGTACACCTTGGTCTCTCAGTCCCCACAGGGGATGATTCCAGGACACCCTGCAGAAACCAAAATCAGTAGAAACTCAAATCCCTTCCATAAAATGGTGTGGTATTCATATATAACCTCTGTGCAACCACTATTTATTTATTTATTTATTTATTTATTTTTGGTTTTTTGAGACAGGGTCTTACTACATAGGTGAGGATGGACTTGAACTCACCATGTAGCCCAGTCTGGCCTTGAACTCTTGGCGATTCTTCTGCCTTAGCTTCCTGAGTGCACCACCAAGCCCTGCTCCACTTGTATACTTTAAAGCATTCCTAGATTACTTATAATAATTTAACACAATGTTTATGCCACATGAATAGTCGTTGTGCTATATTCTTTAGGGAATAACAAGAAAAACATCTGTACATGTTCAGTACAGATGCAATTTTTTAAAAAATATTTTCAATCCACAGTTGGTTGAATCTGGAGACGTGGAATCTGCAGTCAGAAGGAGGACTGTATTCATCTATGACTTCAAATTCAAGGTTTGGGCCTTCTGTGAAGGAGATGGACAGGTCAGTGCTCCTGACACCTGCCCTTCCCAGGTGAACTTTGTACACTCACTCCTTTGATTCCAAGATATTGATTCTCAATACTTTATTTCTCCTCCTAAAGCCAAAGTCTTGCCACGGAAGCCCTTAGTTTGCAAGACATTAAGTTCTGGGTGTTCAAGAACTCATTTTAGAATAGAGGCTAAGAATTTACTCTGTTTTTTGTTTCTGAACTAGCCTCTTAGGGTAGAAAGAAATATCAAGAATAAAAATGATCAGCTAATATGTCAAACATTTTCCTACCATGTTAAGATAAACATATCTATTAAGTCTTAGAAACTGCTCAGCAATGAAGACCAAAAAAAAAAAAAAAAAAAGAAGCCAGGTGCAGTAATGCAGGCCTATAATCCCAGATACTCAGGAGGTTAAAGCAGAAAGATCACAAATTAAGGCTAGCCTGGGCACTAAGTGAGATCTTGCCTCAAAATAAAAAATATAAAGGGTGAAGGCCCTAGATTCAATCTCCAGTACCGCAGAAACATAAAAATAAAATTAAAGGAGAAGCTAGGGTTGTAGCTCAGGGTATTGTGCTCCTGGGTTCAAGAAAGGTGGAGAAGCCAAGCCCTCTGCCCTGGGGACTCCATAAGCATCCCCATGTGTGGCCTCACTGTCATGAGTGAGAATGTTTCTGAACATTGGTTTATTTTTCTCATGGGACACCAGGAACCATACTAAAAGGCAACTGGGGTTTGTTTTAGTGGGGAGTGGAAGAAAACACCATGGTGAGGAAGAGGTTTGCTCTCAGAGTCTTAGAAGCAGGAGGCCTCTCAGACAGGGCAGGAAGAAGTACAAGGCAATCAGGGGGCGGAAGGAGGGCACGGTGGACAGGAGTCTGTGCTGTGTTTTCCATGGAAGAAACAGTGGGGCTGGCAGCAGGCTGGGGATCTGCCTATTTGAGTTCCCTGAGCAGTTGTCCCCAGCAGTCTATACCTGGCCCAGGGTGGTTAGGACAGGTGCAGGGTCGTCCAGGTGACAACCAGGAGAGTAGGGTGTCCTTTGCTCTAAGAATTGCTGACCAAGGAAGGGCATCTTCCAGGGTCAATAAGTCTCCAATATGTCCAGGCACTAGAACAAAAAATACATGATCAGTACAAAAATATGCCTGCTGGTATTTGTCTCCTAACACAAGCTGTCCGTAAGCTCAGAACCAATGTGGTGTCCACTTTCCCCCATCGAGGCCTGTGTTTCATGCTTGATCCATCTCAGCTTTCTAGCCCTCACTGTACCAGCCTCTTCATTTGTTTTTATTTCATGTTTTATTACCTTGTGTAAATGGTCCTAAATCCTTTCTGGGACAGGACTGCGAAGAAGAGGTGGGATGGAAGCATCGCAGACTCCTGATAGGACCTGTGTATTGGGAATGAGAGCTCACAGAGTTTTATGAAAGCAGTCATGAACCCCACAGTACCATGTCCCGTGGAAGAGGACTCAGGAAAGCCTGTAAGGAGGTGCTGTGGCTGGTTGTGCCCATGGCCTCCCATAAGAGGCCCTTGTTAGCCACTCAGGTTAAAATGACCCCGTTGTGGGGTTCAGCAGAGTTTGGGGGTAAACAGGGCTCCTCCTCTTCTCTGGTGCAACAAGTCAGCAGCTATCTTGGTCTGTTTGGTCTCCTACAACGAAATGCCACAGACCATGGCTCATAGGCCTCAGACATTTGTTTCTGACAGTGTTGGAGGCCCGACATCCAGGAGCAGGGTGTCAAGTTCCGAGGCTGGTGAGGGTTGTCCTCTGGTCAGCAGGCGGCATCTGCTCACTGCACGTCACACAGTGGAGAGACAGAGTGAGACTCGTGCCCCTTCCACAGGCACCAGTCCCACCAGGCGGTGCCTCCCTCCTGACTGGCCACCTCCCAAAGGGCCCTCAACTCTTCATCCTGGGGCTTAGGGCTCAGCATATGAATTTGAGGGGATCGAGCCCAAAACATCTGTTATGTCTATCAAGGGAACAGTTAGAGACAATAGCTATTTTAAAAAGAAAATAGTTTATGTGCAAAAAGGGGCAAGGAAGCCAGACTTCAATAAAACCAGGTAATCCAAAAATGTTTTTTTAAAAGACCATCTGTATTTAATGTTTAAAAGGCCTAACAAAGAACATAATAGTATGTAATTTAAAAAAATAGAATAGTTTTAAAACTTTAAAATAAAAACCCACAAGATTATGATGTTTACATTTGCCTTTTTTTGGTTTTTTTGAGACAGGGTCTCACTATGTAGCTCAGGCTGGCCTTGAACTCACAGCGATCCTCCTGCCTCAGCCCCCTGAGTGCTGGGATTACAGGCATGCACCATATATTTGGCTTTTATTTTGTTGTTGTTGTTGTTGTTTGTTTTGGTTTTTTTTTTTTGTACCAGGGATCAAACTCAGGACTTTGCACTTGCAAGGCAGGTATAGTGCCACTGAGCTAAATCCTGGCCCTTGTTTTATTTTTTGGGACAGAGTCTTGCCTGTAGTCTAGGTGAGCCTTGAACTCATGATCCTCCTGCCTCTGCCCTCCCAGTGCTTATAATTTAATTTTAATTATTTTAATTAATTAATGTATTTATTTTGCAGAACTGGGGGAAGTCGAACCCAGGGTCTTTGCTCTGAGCTACATCCTCATCCCTTTCTCACTTTTTTATTATGAGACAGGGTCTTGCTAAGTCACTAAATTGCCAAAGCTGGGCTTGAACTTTCGATCCTCCTGCCTCACCCTCCCGGAGTGCTGGGACTGCAGGCCTCCATTTGCCTTTTAATAAAAACACCAGCTGCTCACATAATTACACACAGTTCTGTGTTACTTCCAAAGTCAGAGACGAGGCTGTTTCTATCAAGGAGTCCAGGCTCTTGGAAAACACTCAAGATGGTGTTATTTGGGGGCCAGAACTAGACAGAGTGACTTGTTTTTGTTTCATGTGAAGGTACAAACTGTTTTTCCTGACTGTATGTGATCAGCACAAGTAGATAACGGGGCTCAGCCATGTGCTGGTTTCCACGTGATGAATCATTTGTTTACACCTTTATCCATTTCTCTCCTCGTTACAGTATCATTTCAGGCCCTTCCTGCAAAATCATAATCAAATTCATATCACTCCTAGGAGCATACAATTTTCTTCTGCTCAGAGCAGGATGTTCATGGGGATACAAGAAAATGTGGCTGTGAAAACGTGAAATAGGCTCGGTACACATGGACGAGACCAAGAGTTCAGAGGTTGCTAAATTCTTTTCCCTGCTTCCCTGCACATGCCCTGAGACACACGAGCCACCGTGTCTGCTGATCTTAATGGAACAGAAGAACATCTTGGAGCCTTCCCTCCTGGTGCCTGCAACTCTTCATCACTACAGAAGCAGTGTGCAGAGCAGAGTGAGGCCTTGACTTTCACCTCTGAACCCGGGACTTGAAACCTACACCAAAGGCAAGTTCTATAGGTTTCATCTTTTATCATCTTGTATAAATGATCCTAAGTCTCTTCTGGAACAAGACTGTGAAAAGGAGGTGGGGTAGGATTTTGTTTGCAAGTACTTGCCTTTCCAAGAAAAGTAATAAAGGCATTGAAATCTGGTAAAGACTCAGAGCAAAGCCAGATGTGATAGCACATGCCTGTAATCCCAGCACTCTGGGAGACTGAGTCAGGAGAATCCCAAATTGGAGCCCAGCCTGGGCAACTTAGCAAGATCCTACTTCAAACTTAAAAAACAAAACAGCACTGAGAATGTAGCTCAGTGAAAAGGTTCTGGGTTCCATTCCCAGTAAAATACACACACACACACACACACACACACACACACACACACACACCAATAATAATAATAATAATAATAATAAAACAGCCCGAGCCCTCATGTTGTGACACACGGATGTGAAACACTGATGTCGTCAGGGAAATCCATGCTGAAATCCATGCTTGTTCTATGCCTGTGCATCTGCTAAGGACACACGGGTCCCCTGGCCCTTCTTTTGGGGAGGGGTTAGTGGCAGTGAGGGCTCCAGCAGTGGTAGTGGCCAGGATGTGAATCTGGCTGGCTCTCAGACCACTGGTCTCCACCAAATGAATGGTTTTTTGTTTTTGTTTTTGTTTGGTACTGGGGATTAAACCTAGGGCATTCATCCTGAGCTACATCCCCATCCCTTTTAATATTTTATTGTGAAACAGGATCTCACTAAGTCACCAAGTTGCCCTAGCTGGGCTCAAACTTTTGATCCTCCTGCCTCAGCCTCCCAGAGTTCTGGGATTATAGCCATGTACCACCATGCCCAGCGCAGGTAAAATCTTTTGAGGGTCATTTGCTTACCTTGTCCTTGGGATGTCTCTTCTTCCCTTCTTGATCATGAGAGTGAAATCCCCTTGGCCATGTCTGGGCCAGGACTCACTTTCCCCAGCCATTGTTCACCAGGCCATGGACAGGTCCTTGATTCCAGCCAGATTTTTCTTACTCCTGGAATTACTCAAAGAGAGCTGTGCTTGAAACAGTGGGACCTGCAAGTGCAAGTTTGGAGCTGAGAGTGTCTTCTCTAAGGGAGACCAGAGAACCCAGAAAACCACCTGCCTGAAGAGAAGGGAAGAACAAAACAAATGTTCCAAGAGGAGGCACCAAGCACAGGGCGGGTCGAGCCTCTGCATCTGCCCAGGGCTCCAAGGCCCCTGCAGCTCCACAACTTTCCAGGCTCTATCACCTGCTCAGAGCAGGCCAGCTGGATGTCACACTTGCCACCACATCTCTTTTTTTTTCCCCATACCGGGGATTGAACTCAAGTCCTTGCGCTTGTGCAGCAGGCAGCAAAACCACTGAGCTAAATCCCCGGCCCTGCCACCACATCTCTTAATGTAGCCAAATACTTCTAAATGCTACCTTTATTGCCAAAAGCAGTTTCCATAATCCAAAGGCATTTATTTATTTCTTAGAACTCATTCGGGAATGCTAATTTCTTTGGGGTTGGAAACCAATGCAATAGTTGAGTGTATGGGCTTGGTGTTAAGCCAGACTTGAATTCAAGTTCTGGCTCTGCGCTTAGTACTTGCTGTGTGATGCCTTTCTCAGCATAGTCTCCCCATGAACAATGTGGGGCAGTGGCACTGACCTCCATGGGCTGCCTTGAAGGTTAGCAGATAACATCTCCATTCATATGGAAAGATATTCACAACTGCCTCACTTATCTTTGACAAGGTTAGAGAAACAGGATCTCATTTATTTATTTATATCTATTTGTACTGAGAAAACGCAGATATAAACACAGCAAAATCGCCTCTCTGGGTAATTTTCACTTTTTTTCTTTTTGTTCTATTTTCTCACTTTTCCACAGCAAAAACAAAACTTCACATGTCATCTATAGCAAAGAAATTAAGGAAAAATACTTTCCTCAGTAGAGGGCCTGAAATCTTTTTTCCTAAAGAGTGCTGTATTTGTCATCCTTGAAGTCAGGTATAATCTTAAGGATCATTTCCTTTAAACACTTCTGTTTAAAACACACTACAAAGTTGATTACAACAAACATTTCAGGAATGCAAGTTACCTTGAAAGGCATCAAAGCATCCGAGGGACCAAGGGTGAGTAGAGATGGGCAGGTGCGGGTATGGGTGCTTACATAGACTCTGGTGGTGCGTGTAGGTGTTCCTGCAGCGTCCTCAATGCATTTCTGTATACTTGAGACTTTTTATAGTAAAACATCAGGAAAGCTCATGAACCCAGGTGATGAACTCAAGCAGTGCAGAAATGGAGAGGAAGTAAAAGTTCACACACACACGCACATGCATGTGCACACACACAACTCTAGCAGTGTCCCCATGGCTAACCAACATACTCCCTCACATTTTCATTGAGACCAGAAGACTTCCATTTTTTGCCAGCACCCCAGCAAATTGAGAGAGCTTTGTCCTCCTGGTCTGAGTCCCTGCCACAGCTCGCCCCCTGTCGCTGGGGCTGTGAACACCTGACATTTCTTCTCACCACACCAGCCAGGCATCCTGAGAGCTGGCAAAGGTCAGGAGGTGCCCTTGGGCACGTTGATGACAGACACTCGAGGTAAGAAAATTCATTGTCCCCAGTGACAAGACTTTTTCTTGCCAGCATAAAATTCGAAACTAGATTCCAACCACGAAGATGTACACGCATGCAGCTGACAACATGTGGAGCTGCAAATCCTCTTGGCTTTGCATTCAGCAAGAAGCTTCCTCATGATCATAATCCATACAACATGATGGACCCTGTGTGGATCAGCCCAGAAATCAGGGTGTGAAGGGTCTTGTAGACTGGCAAGAAGAGCAGATGAAATGGGTGTGCCTTTCAACACATGGCCAGAGGCTACAGACAGGCAAATCCTAAGAGGAATACATCAGCCAGTGAGCATATTACTCACATATCCCACAAAAATAAACCAGCTTTGCTAGTAAATAAAGAATGCAAATAAAGCCAGAAGTCAAATTTTTTTCACCCATCAAATTTCTACAGGTTGAAAAAGTGATAATAACAGTGGTTGGTGGGGGTCTATTCAGCCCTTTCTCCCCCCTCCCATGGCCACTGAGCCTTTCTCTCCATTTTTTTTTCTCTTTTCTTCTGTTTTTCTGCAGCCCAGCACTGGCAGCCTACCTGGCTTCGGTCCCTATTTTCTTCTGGTTCCAGCTCACTGTCACTCGGGTGGCTCCACAGCCAAGAGGAATTCATCTGCCTGGGAAGATGCCAGCCACACACTAGGCCAATTTGGAGAATTACATGAGCAGGAGTTAATTCTGCAGGAATTAGCACACACACTATTTCCCACTGGAAACCTGGTCTAGGAAAAGCTCAGCTGATGACACCTCCAACGCTTTCTTCTAGCAAAAGCACAGCCTTTCTGCTCCCTTTTGCCACTTCCCAAGCAGAAAATGCTTTTTTTTTTTTAAAGGAGTTGGTAAGAAAATAAGATGTGGCTATAGGTTCCCATATCCTCCCTTCTGGGTAACACTTTATTGCAAGGTCACAGTGGGGACATTTGTCAAACACTCAGGATCACTGAAGTTGCTGGGGCAGGGCAGCAGCAGAGAAGAAACTGTTCTGGAGCTGCCGGCTGAGAGACAGATGTGCAGAACCTCCAATTGAGATATCACACACACACACACACACACACACACACACGGACTTCATAAAGAGACTTTAAAGTTTCAGAGTGTGTCAAAACAGGCATACAATTCTACTCAGTTATCTGTTGATTCACTAACTTTCATTGGGCATCTCTTTGTCCTAGACACTGGGTGTGCAGAGACAGATGTGTCCCTTCCCTGAGAGCCTGTGTTCCAGTGAAGGAAACAGACCAAACTGGAGGAGAGAAGGAAAATGACGCACACTGCAAACCCATGACAGGACCCATCCAGGGAGGCCCCTGGGGTAGCCACGTCCTGTGCCCCAGGGCCCTGAAGCCACTCAAACTAGCTGATCCCCAAACCACTGCCTGCCATGCTGTTCCTTCTATGGAAAACACAGTGCAGGCCCTGGTCCGCAGTGCCCTCCCTCCCTCTGCCTTATAAGCACCCTCCACTCCTCTGTGGCCTGCATAGCCCATGTGGCCTGCCAGGCCCCCTCATCCAGAGCTCTGTGAGACCCACTCTCTTCCTCACAACACTGTTTTCTGTGCCCGTGTCTTCCATCCTTGATTGAAGCAAACCCCAGTCACCAATGAAACTGCCTCTCTGCTCATGGTCTGGAGAAGGAAAAGGGCCACCATGCCAAGAATTGAGGACAGGCCTGGGCAGAGGGGACAGTGAGGGGCTACCATGCTGAGACAGGGGGACAGGGCTGAGCAGAGGGGGAAACGTGTGCAAGACCTTTGAGCAGGAGAGGGATTTGCCTTTCTAAGGGCCTGGAAGAGGCCCAGGGACCAGCCCCAGTGAGCAGGGACAGCACCCCCCAAGTAGGCAGTCTCCCCGCCGTGTTCTGGTAGTTATTCCCCATTCCCCCAGACCCCAGCTCTTGGCTACCACTTAGCTTCTTTATGTTTCTAAGAATGCTCTTATTCTAGGTACTTCATATGAATGAAATCCTACAATATGTAGCCTTTTTTCTTGGCTTCTTTCTCTTAGTGCAACATTTTGGAAGTTTGTCTATGTTACAGCATGAATCAGTGCTTCATTCTTTTTTATGGTGGAATAATATTCTATATTCTTTTTTATGGCTGGGTATTATTCTGCTGTACAGATAGACACACTTATGCCTGTTATGCAAACACTCTACCCACTGAGTTACAGCAGTTTTTAATGTTAGTGAGTCTAGTTTGCCTACTTCTTCTTTGTTGGTTGTGATTTTTGGTGTCACATCCAAGAAATTCTTGCCTATTTCAAGGCCACAGAGGTTTACTGTTGTGTATTCTTCCAAGAATTTTACACTTGTAGCTCTTACTTACATTTAGGTTCAGAATCAATTATGAGACAATTTTCATACAAGGAGTAAATCTTTCATACAAGGAGTAAACTTTAATCATTTGCTTACAGACACCCAATTTCCCCAAAACCATTTGCTGGGCAGACTGTTTTCCTCCTCACAGAGGTGTCTTGGTGCTTTTGCGGAAGACCAGTTGACCACCCATCAGGGATCAACACCACAGAAGCTGATCCAGTTAGAGCTACTGTCCAGGGTGGGGCAATCAAGGTCCCAGCAACAGCTCAGGGCAGGTGAAACTCAAGTGCCAGCTTCAAATCCCTGCCTCAAGGAACAATGTGGGGCTCCCAAATTCCGGGTACCGTTCAGAGCACTTTGCCAGTATCACCTCATGGGATCCTCACAATAGGGCGCTGAAAGTAAATACAGATACTCTTTCCTGTGGGGAAATGGAGGCACAGGACAAAGTCTTTCAGCTGGTAAGAAAGGAACCAAGGGTCAAACCCATGTAGTTTGGCTCCCAAAAACTACACTAGTGAAGAAGCCTAGCTGTGGTCCTACTGTATCTCAAGCTCTCAAAAATGAATATGCTAAACCCAACAAGGTGAGGCACACCTGTAGTCTCCACTACCCAGGAGGCTGAGGCAGGAGGATCAAAAGTTTGAAGCCAGCCTGGGCAACTTAGTGAGATCCTGTCTTAAAATAAAATTCAAAAAGAGCTAAAGGTAGCTTAGTGGTAGAGTGCTTGAGTCGCATGCACAAGGCCCTGGGTTCAGGTTCAGTTTTCTGTAGGGGTTCAGGGAGCTCAGGTTCAATCCTCCCCCCTCAAAAAAGAAAAGACTACTATTTGTAAAATGAGAACAATAATGTCAGCGTGGCAACATGTACACAAGGTAACATATGCAAAAGGTAGCCACATCAACTCTGAAAAGACAGCCCTAATAGCATGGGGCTGGCCCACCGGGCCCAGCTCTCTGGGGTGCTCACAGATGGGTGTTTCTTAACTCTGGAGGGTTCTGCTGGGAGATGCAGGCTGCCTACATCACAGGATTTTTTTTTATGGCTCAGTCTTAAACCAGCTACAATCCACCAAGAACAGAGTAGAGTTTCCAAGGGCTTCTACAATCCCAGT